GCTAGTCTAACACACGTGTACTTTTTTCCTTCTCTGCTGGTGAGTTGCATTCCCTCTAGCTTTTCCAACAAATCATAATAGATACAGAATTAATATTTGGAGTGACTGTTCATTCTTTTGAAGATTGCATGTTCAGTGATCTAGTCTTTCATTGTTGTGCATAGACGTCAATTCAGCTTGGATTATATGGAAAAATATGAAGTTGCTGATTTAGATAGTGTATTTTTATATCACAGAAACTTCAGTTTAGCAGTATACATATTGAATATATAAAAGGAAACCAAGGACTAAAGTAACAAATTAATTTATGGAAGATTTCAACGATATACTTCCTTACTTGAACCACTTCAGCAGAATTACTTCCTAATTTTAATAACTAAATTACTAGGGCTGTACAAAATGCCTGTATTTCGTTTCGTTTTGTATTCGGCGTTTCAGAGGTGCAGTGGTTCATTTAGGTGTTTCAATTTACTGTCCCGTTTCATTTTGGCCAAAACGGTTTCAGAGCTTTTTAGGAATTTTGACAGTGTTTTGGCCATAGGCTATAATAGGGAATCACAAAACTGCCTATAACTTTGTCATTTCTTGCCTGTTTCGGATGAAACTTTTGCAGAGATCGTAGCCCCTTCTGAGGCCAAGAAGCCTGCCAAGTTTCAAGGAGATGGGTGATTTCTAGGAAACTGCACCTCAAACTGTTCAAAGCAAAACTGATATCACTTGCCGGCGGCAGGACCCCGGGAGGAGTCTGGCACAGCCCCGCAGCCCTCCTGGGGGGTGTGGACCCCTGGAACTGCGTGCGGGATGACAGCAGGCTGCCGCTGCTGGCTGGGCCTAGCATTAGCACTGAGTTCTTCCCGGTGCTCGGCATGGGCCGCGCCAGGCAGATTCAGGTGCTGGCGCTAGCCCCAGCCAGCAACAGCAGCATGCTGTCATCTGTGTGCTCCACACCTAGTGAGTGTGGAGCTTTAAAAAAAACCCCCCAAACCCTGCACTCTCCGGCTCTGGCAGCGGTAATTGGGGCCTTTGAGGGCTCGTGGCAGAGCCCTACTCCATGCAGCGCAGGGCAGTGGGGGGCAGCGGGGATTGCCCACCCTGCGTGGCACCCACACTATTGCACGGGTGCAGTGTAGCTCGGCAGAGCACGGCACGCTGCCTGGAAGCTGGGGCGGCTCCACCTGTCAGTAGCAGCTCCTGGTTCAATTCCCCAGCTCTCTTATCACTGCCCAGTTCTTCCCGGGT